GGCACCTTTCGAGGGCCCCTGTCCACACTGGCCGGCACATGGAGCTCCGCCGGCCCATCCTGGACTTGTGGCAGACGTCGCTAGTCAATGCTTCCCTCCCCGCCCGGGAGCCGCCTCAGAGGCTTCTCCGCGGAACGCTGCATCCAGTCCCTGCAATCGACCCGAGTCGTACAGGAGACCACAGCTCTCCGACTTCCCTAACTTGGCCCAGGAGGGGAGACTGAGGCTCTGTGAGGAAATGCATCTGCCAAGGGTCACACAGCAGCAGTAGGCAGAGCCAGAACTGGTGGACACTGGTATACAGGAGGCCCGAACTCATTTTAGCTCATCAGGTCTTCCCTACACACAAAAATAAGAAGCGTAGTTCCATTGACTGAGCACTCAGCGTATGGGATGCACTGTCTCATTGACTCTTCTCAACAACCCTGCGGAGCGGGGCAATATACAGATGGGAAAACTGAGGCAGAGAGAAGCGTAGTGACCAGAAACCAGCGTAATTACAGTCGCCGTCATCGTTGCTGTTGCCGAGTATGGAGAACACACCACATGCTGACTCGTTCACACTCATTATCCCACTTTATCCTCAGACACCCCAGGGAGGTAAGTCCTGTTGTGAGTCCCATTTCACAGATAAGAAACCTGAGGCTCAGCAAGATGACACCCCTTGTCCAGGTCACAGAGCCAGCAATGGGCAGAGAGAGGATTTGAACCCGGGCCTGACCAACCCTGGAGCCAGGCTCTGACCTCCACCCTCAGAGCCCCCTTGGAGCCCTTCAGATTTCCATTTTCCACTGGGATCCAGGAATGGGCGTGTTTACAGATTGAGGCAACTGAGGCCTGGGGCCAACACCAGGTCTAAGGTCACTGCGTCACACTCAGCCCCCTGGGCTGTGTTCCTGGGGTGGGAAGAACTGTCTTCACGAGATTTCCGCACAGCCTTCAGCTCTGCACACCACAACTCAAGGAAGAGGGGCCTCAGATGTTTGTGGAACTGGGTGCCAGGCGGCCAAGGAGGGGGGCTTGATGATGGTCCAAGGCCACCCGGCAAAGGTCTACTGGACTGGGCTCTCCAGGTCCCGGCCCCAGGCTTGGGGACCCGTGCTGCCACCTTCTCCTTGCTCTGGGCTCTGATGGCACCACAGTCAGTGAGGAAACTAGCTCCTGCGCCCCCGGTCCTGCCCCATCCTTCACCCTGGCCATGTTCCTATGAAGGACAGGCCCACCAGGTCCTGGCTGAGTGCAGGTGGGTGGGCAGAGGAGACAGGATGCCCCCGAGCCCTCTGCCACTACTCCCCAGCCTGATGCCAAGTGGGCACCATCTGGGTCTCCTGTGGCCCTTTCCGGGTTGACAGGGGCCCAACGCACAGGCGTTCCAACCAACTCAAACAGCAGAGGTGGAGAGATAAACAGGATGTTGCCGCCCGAGGACTCTCCTGCCCCGCCAGCTGGCCTCGGTGCCACGCGGGTGGAACCCAAATGCCCGGTTTCTATCCTTGTGAGACCTGGGCCAGCCATCTCCCCTCTCCAAACCTGTTTCCTTGGCTAGCAAATGGGGCTCTCAGAACCTCCTCCCGGGGTCGTCGTGAGGACTGATGGCGAAAGTGCGCCCGGAGCACCAAGCCCAGCATTGGGAGCGCAGCAGCCGCCAGGCATTCCCCTGCACCTGCTGGGGGCTGGGGGCACCGGGGGGCAGGGGAATGCGGCTCACTGCTGCCCCCAGGAGGCCGCGAGCTGGAACAGCCGTTCTCAGTCTGCGAGGATGCAGACGTGGGTTTACTTCCCAGCTCTGCCCCTTCCTGTCGTGCAGCTGTGAGCAAGTCGCCCTCCCCTTCTGAGCCTCACGCTCCTCATTCAAAAAACGGGGGCAGTAACAGCCCTGCGAGGTTGCTGAGGGGACGAAACAAGATGAGGTAGGAAAAGCATCTGGTACACAGCAGGCGCCAAATAAATGACAATTGTTATTATCAAGAGTCTGCTCTTATGGGGCTGAGCTTCTGCAGGACAGTCAGGCTACACTGTAAAGTGCTGTGCACGTGAGCTGTAGGGTAGTGAGGGTCATGTATAGGCTGAGCTGGGGCTCTGGAGGTTGAGGTGGGGTCACAGCTCATAGAACTCAAGGGAGAAGGCACCTTTGAGTCATCTAGTCTGGTCGTTCCCATTTCTGGTCAACTACCCCCAGACAGCCTGGACACAGCCTGATCCAAATTATCTAGGGATGGGGCTCAAGCACTTGTGTTTTAAACAAGCTTCCTAGGTAATTTTGTTTAATCTTTTTTTTTTTTTTTTCAGGCTGTTGCCCAGAGTAGAATATCACAACAAAACTAAAAGATATGTAATAAAAGAGGAAAATAAGTGGGGTTCAATGTCACGGTGTAGCCTGGGATGAGTCCTTCTCCTTCTCTGGGCCACAAGCTCCCCAGATCTCCCAACAGCGAGGTTAAATTGAGCTCTAAGCTCTCCTCTGACTCTGGTGTCTGCAATGTTTTGAGTGTAGTGTGTGACCAGGCAGCAGTCAGAAGGGAGGAGGTCAAGGTGAGTCTACAAACACATGAGTCAGGACTGCTGTGGGTTTGAGCGGCGGGAATCCAACTCACATGAGCTTAAGCAAAAATTTAAAAATAGGGAGGGAGAAATTTATTTGAACTGAAAAGTCCAAGGGTATATATGACTTCAGGCACAGCTGGATCCAGGCACCCAAATGATATATTTTCTCATTTCCTTCATATTGGCTTCATTCTCCAGTGGGCTTTGCCAGATAACCGTATCTAAAGTCTTCAAGGAAAAAAACAGATCCAGGCAATCTGTGGAGCCCAAATCTCCCCTTGTGGGTGGTGAGCTCTTTCATTCAGAACAGTGGTAAAGTGGTGTCCATGACTCTGTAAAAAGTTCTCCTCACTGTGGGCAGGAAGATGTATCTATTTTCTTCACATGAGTCCAGCTCATGCTGTCTTGTTCATGTGTATGCACACATGCATATGTGAACAAACATGCACGTGTGCATATGTGTAAGTATGTATGTGCGTGTTCAAGAGCCCCACACACTATCGGGAGTAGGATCCAGAACATCTCAGGAAGAAGGGGGCCTGGCTTCTCGCCACTTTGGTGGATTTAGCCTGGTATAGACCAGACTTGGGGGTCCCCAAATGCTTTAGCAGAGAGGGGTCCTCGAGAGTGTGGTGAAGTCCTGTCCTCATGTGAGCTGGGGCTGGCACAGCTGCAGAGGAGGGGCGACCCTGAGAATAATGCTCATAGAAGGCAGGACCCTTGAGCTGCCTGTGAGGGGACAGATCCTCTGCTTGCCTCACCCCCTTTGTGCCACTCCCCCAGACCCACCCCCAGGGGACAAGAGCGTCTGATTTATGTCATCTCAGAGCTCGGCTGTGAGAGGTGGCCAGTGCCAGTGGGGGAAGCTGGCTTTGTCCTGGGTGTGGTCCGTGCTTAGAAACAGCACCCAGTACTAGGACTGTGGCTCCACGGCAGGGCGAAGTGGGGGTCTGGGGACGAGGGGAGGGTGAGAAAAGGGAAGAGACAGGAAGCCTGAGGGAAAGGTATCCATGTAGGGTGGCTGGACGCAGGGAGAAAGAAAACTCGAGGGGAAGAATCATAAATGCGTGCAACAATGGTCTTTGAACAATAGACCAGGGAAATGTAGAACCACGGCTCACAGTCACATCAAGTCCCACAGGGGCTCAGCAGTCAACTAGTCCATTCCTGAGCCTCTCTGCTGATGGGGACCTCGCCACCTTCCCAGGTAGTGGCTGGCTTTATAGATGCTCCAGAGAGAAGCTTGGAACATTCTGAAGACAGGTCAGGGTCTTCGGGACCCACCTGTGAGGAGAGCCCAAGGGCACAGGGTGGTAATGATTTGCTGAGGACAGAGAACAAGTTTAAAGAATCAAATTATGATGATTTGCTGTGAAAGAAGCCAGCAAGGAGCTGAAGTCAGGGATAATGGGGAGGGGCCGCCTCAGGTGGACAGTCGGCGAGGTTCTGAGGAGGTGATGTCGAGAGCTGGGGACAGCTGGGGAGGGGAGTCCTGGGCAGAGAGAACGGCCTGGGCAGAGGCTCAAGGCAGGAAAGAGGTGGGCATCTTTCTGGAACAGAAGGAAGACCGGTAGGGGCCAGGGAGGGAGAGGTAGGAGGTGATTTTGGTGAGGCAGTGAGCAGATGACACAGGCCCCTATGGGCCACGGTAGGACTTTGGGTTCAAGCTGAGTGAGACCCCTCTGACTGCTGCACTGAGAGTAGAGCAGAAGGGGACAAGTGTGCAGAGGGAGACCCAGGATGAGCCTGGTGGTGTTTCTCCTGACACTGGCTGTGCAGCTTCAGGCAAGGCACTTAACCTTTCTGGGCCTCACTGTTGGCCATACATGGGGTAATGTGGAGGCAGATTTTGTTCACTCTCAGGAGGAACTCTCTGCCAACTAGACGGAACAGGCAGGCTGGGGGCGGTAGTGAGCTCCATCATTGCAAACACACACTAAGTCTGGCTCTACCATGAGAGATGTAGAGGGCGCGCAGACACCAGAGGAGGGCTGGGCAGAATGACCTCTCTGGTCACTGACCCTGACTCTCTGTGGGCCACAGTTCTGGCCCTGTCTCGGGCCCTGTCTTACTGGTGACCTCAGGCTAGTTGCTCCCTTTCTCTGAGCCTCAGTTCCCAAATTATGACAGAATTAGGCTGGATGATCACTACGGGTCCTCTTACCAGAACGTCCCCCAGTTTGTCCATTCTCAGTCTTCACCCCAAAACCCACCCACAGCGGCCACCGTCTTGGCAGCTGGTGGCTCCACAAGAACCTGGTCTTAGTCTCGGCGGAAAGTCTTCCCCGTCTCCATCCTTTCCAGTTCAAGCATCCTGAGTGACCTTCAGGTTGGAAGTCTCTCTGCTCATCTTGGACAGGGATTATTTTCTTTGGAGTCTCCTTGGATGGCTCTGGAACCAGGGCTTGCTTCTATGGGCAGCCTCCCACCCGGTCGCCACCATGTTAAGGGCCACCACCACCCAGCAGAATCCCAGGAGACCGTGCAGGGGAGCGGATTCGGGAGCATCCTCCTCCAAACCTGTGAGTAGTGGGCTTCCCAGTGATGACCCCCCATGATGACAGTGGTCTTCAGAAGGCTTTGGAAGCAAGAGGCTGAGGGATAGGTCTGCTTGGATTAGCTAATATTCTGAATATAGCAAATTAAGAGATAGATAAATTATATTAAGAGAAGTGTCAAACTGATGAGAAATGCAGAATCACGATGTGGTGCCCGTTTATTGTTCATACTTTTATTTGGCAAATATTTATTCATTGTACTCTACTGGGTGCAGGCTTTTTAGCCGGGGCTGGAGATTCAACAGTGAAATAAGTCACAGTCACTCCTCTAAGGTGGGAAGGGCAGACAAGTCATCAGATAATTGATACCCAGGACTCTGATCAGAGAACGAAGGCAGCAAGCCAGTGGGGTGGGGCCCCCTAACCTAGACTCTGGGGAGAGCCTAGAGTGGGCTTCACAGAGGGCGTGATGTCTTACTGAAGCCAGAAAGTCAGTAGGAAGTGACTTAGGTAAACACGCAAAGAAAAGGAAAGATGTTCCAGGCAGAGAAGCCAGCATGTGCAAAGGACCTTTGTGTAAAGAGCATGGACCTGGAATCAAGTGTGACTTTTCAAATGCCAGCTCTTGCACTCATTGGCTGTGTGTCTTTGGGCAAGTTGCTCTAGCTTTCTGACTGTGGCTGCCCATCTCTCAAATAGGAGATAACCACATCTGTCTTAAAGGAATGTTAAGTGTAGGAGTGATAGGTGCTCATAGAAGATTCCTTTTCCCTCTGGGTAATTCTCACTTTTGTTCCTCCTATGACTGTCCAGTTGTCAAGACAAAAGATGTTTCAGCTTTGGAAACTTGTTCTCTTGTGCTGCCTGATCACTGGGACCTCAGTGTCTCTTCTTGGTAATCTTGGCAATGATGTAGATAACGTTGTGAACAACCTTGAGAAAGGAGCTGAGACTGTTGACAATACACTTGAAGGTGAGTCAACAAGGGTGCTGATCAGCGGCACCCAGGAGCCTGCCTCCTGAACACTATGCCTGCATTACCAGAGGCTGCCAGCAGGGGCTGCCCTTTATGGGTAGTTTACTGAGAAATGGGGCTATTCAGTTCCAGGCTGACTCACATTATTTTTCTAGAAACAAGCAATGCTTAAACGAATTTCCTTTTACATATTATATCATGGTAAACTTTTTTCAATATATGCATAGGATAAATTCCTGAAAGTGAGATTTCAAAAGTTCAAAAGGTATGTATATTTTAAATTCTAATATATATTGAAAAATAATCCCCACATTAACATTTTCTCAAACAGTCTGTGGAGTACCTTTCTTTCTACTCCCTTGACAGCACTGGTATGGACAACTTAAATGTTTTGCCAGTCTCATAGATGAAAGATTGTGACTCATTTCATTTTACATGTCTCTAATTATGAAATAATCTACTCATTTTTTCATATTTTATTAGCCATTTACAAAATTTAACTTTTGTTCATATTCTTTGCATATTCTTCTCTTGGGTTGTTTAATTTTCTTATTGATTTGTATTAACTAACTCATTGGAAATTAACGAAACTAACCCTACCTAGCCTAGGCAGCTATAAAGCTACCTACTTTTATGTTTAATGATATCTTCTTTTTATTCTGATTTATTAAAAGAACTTGGCTTTCTTTTCTTTGTCCGGAAACATGAACTGCACATTGACAAACATTCTTTATAGGAAGAAGTAACTTCTGTAAATGACTGCATTTCAAACCTTGTCAGTGCTTAGACAACCTTCAAACATACAGAAGAGATCCACTTTCTAATTTCACTGCTGAGAAAATTGAGCTCAGAAACAGAAGTGTCTGGCTTAAGGTCATCCAAAGAGTTATATGACCAGGTATAGTTTTGTTTAAAAATTGACATTCTCTGCTTGCATCATTATAACTGGGTAGATGCTGTTTATTGCAGAGCCAAGTTACAGTACTATGATTACATATCTTTTCTTGTACAGTCTTTTGTTTTTCCTTGAGTTAGTAATTGCCTTGTTGTTTCTCACTTGAATTATTTTCTACACGTATGTGCTTAATTCTTTTTATATGCCCCATTCTACATCTGTCATATCAGTTATTCTATCTAATCCCTCTTTTCTCTGGAGACCTCCCGTTAGGACACCCTGTCCTCCTGCTCCTGTATGAATTATTGCTCTCTGGGCCTGCTGCCAAGATGTCCTCCTGGGACCCCCATTTGCCACTTTCATGTGTTGGAGCTGTATTTTTTTCTTGATTCTCAATTTTCCATTTCTTAGTTTATTCTCTCATTTTGTTTGACCTAGTTTTTCAAACTCATGTGGACATCTCACTTAGAGCAATAGACCTCTGAGTCACTGCTAGAAGCTGGTGTACAATCATTATCAATTGCCTGGTTAGGTGATCAATTGCTTGGTTGATGATTGCTGAGTATATACTATGAGTATGAAGGCAGAATGGAAGGAACAAGGGTTCCCTAGCTGTGTGACTTAAGGCACATTTCTTAGCCTTTTGATACTTTATTTCCTCATCTGTAAAACACAGATAATATCAATACCTACCTCCTTGAGTTGTTATGAAGATTAAATGAAATAACATAGGCAAATAGTCTTATCTAGTATCCGGTGCATAGTACCTGCTTCATAAGTGGTGCATAACGCTAAATAGCGATTGTTTTTGTCAGGTGTCCTTCAGAAAGTGAAGGGTGACTTGTAGGCGCTTCAGGAATCCAAGGCTTGGCAACTAGCCAAGCAGAAGTTCCAGGAAGCTGAGAATTTGGTGGACAATGCTGCTTCTAAGATCTTGCCAATTGTGAACGGTTCTTTGGTGCTTCATGGCAGAGATCTTTGCTCCAAGAAAACGAAATACATATTTTTGGAGAGGTGATTTTAAGATCAAATAAAGAAAGGTGGACAAACTTTGTCCCTCCTCACAGGACCAACGTGGTCTGAGGCCAGGTCCACCAGAGCTTGAGTAAATTAGAGGCAGGGCTGCAGGGCCAATCTTGGCATCTCATGGGTTTGGGCTTCCCCGTTCTGTAATTTCAAGATCAGAGTAAAGGTTCTCTTCAATTCACCTCCTCTTGTTTCTGTTGCCTGAAGGTCCTTTTCCAAGGAATAAGTCTTTTCTTCTCCAAATATAGCTAAGGATAAACGTCTGAATCCCCTCAGGAGAGAGGAAACTGGAATTCATACCACATAGCTGGCTCCACACGTGGAGTTTTGGAGTCAAACGGTTCCGGGTTCCAATTCTGGCTCTGCCACTTATTCCCTCTTGGAATCTCATGGGGAAATCACATCGGTCTGAGCCTCAGTATGCCATACCATAAAATGGAGAGAATCAAACCTCTGAACAGGGCTATGGTGAAGACCAACGAAGGCAAGGTTGGTGGGGCCCAGATGCTCAGCGTGATGCTGGCATAGAGAAGTGCTCAGCGCATGGCTGTCATGAGCAATGACAAAGGTAAATTATGGGTTTTGCGCAGGTTGAAAATCAGTCACACCAAATCCAGGATCTCAAAGCTGAACTGACTCCTGATGGCAAAGGTGTTAACCTGACCATCCCCGTGACCGCCGGTGTCAGCCTGGCCCTGCGAGTATGCGCTAGAATCTGGGCCTTGGGAGAAGCAGTGCAGCGTGGCTGATGGATCTCCAACCTGGAATCAGGCCCCTTTCCACACTGACGTGGGGGCTTGGGCCTCAGTCTCCCAATCTGTAAGTGAGAAGGCCTTTCCAGCTCTAAAATCCTAGCCTTTAGAATGTTCTAATGAACTTTGGCTATAACCATGTCTCTCTTAAAAGAATCCTCCATTACATATATTTTTGAAATCATAACATTTATCTAATTATAAAATTTGAAAAATTGAGAATACGTGAACATTTATTACTCTTTGGCAGAATGTCCTCCAGCATTATTTTGTCTATCAGGATTCTATTTAGATAGCCATGCCCATTACAGATAAATGCATATAGTAGTGTACAGTGTATATTCAAGGGTATGTGTGAAAAATACAATTTTGATGTATTTCAATTATTTTAAAAGAGAGAGAGAGAGGAAAATGAGCATGTGTAGAAGAATCTTTATAAATTAATTACAGCATGATTCCATCATTCATTCACTATGGGATCCTGGAATAGTTACGTAACCTCTCTATACCAATGTTCTCTCATTCCGAAAATAGAGGTAATAATAGCACTTCTCCCTCATGGTATTGCCGTAATGATTAAATGGATTAATCCAGGTAAAATACTTTTTAAAAATGTCTAACACATAATTAGTGCTCAATAAATGTTAACTATTATTATTGTTTTAATTATTAGTGTGATACTGCATAAAAATTTCATGTGAACCAAACCATGTGGCCGGGAGAAGAAGACCCTAATATAACCATGTAAAGCCCACAGAGAATATAGACAATGTTGACATTATCCATAGACATCATGGAGCATGTCCATGCAGATGGAGGAACCTGAGCAGACACCATGAAGGGCCCTCTAGACCTCCGTTAACCGTGAATCTTATTTCCTGCAGGCCTCTCGTTGGCCAGGTTGCCGACCTGAAGACTTCCTTGGACCTCCTGACTAGTGTCAGAATCGAAACCGATGCCCAGACCCGCCACTCCACAGTGGTCCTGGGAGAATGCACCAACGACCCAGCCAGCATCTCACTCACCCAGCTGAACGGGTAGGGCCCATCCATCTCAGCAGAGCTGGGCTCTCAGAGTTGAGGACCCCTGATTTCAGCCCTATTCCCACACCTGGGAGGTGGCTCAATGCGGTGAAAAAGAGTTCAGGCTCTGAGTCAGACAGACCCTGGTTCGAATACCAGCTCTGCCACCAGCTTGCGACTTTGTAACCAACTTAACCTCTCTGAGCCTCAGTTTCCACATCCGTAAGCTGAGGATGATAACAATACCTACTCAAAGGCTGCTGAGCTGACCAAATGAAAAAGTGCAAGTGTTTAGCACAGAGCCTGGCGCACTCTAAGCTCTCGGTAATACTAATGTCCAGGCTGACTTTCTGTCTGCTTGTTCTTCCCTTCACTGAGACAGGAGTGTTGACCTCTCCAACTATAATCGTGAATTTGCCTATTTCACCTTTCGGCTCTATCGGTTTCGCTTCATGCTTTTTGAAGCTCTGTTGTTAGGTTCATGGCCATTTAGGATTGTTATGTCTTCTGGAAGAATTGACCCCTTTATCATTATGTGATGTCTCCCAATAATAATAGTGATAATAAAAAATTGCATTTACCTTCTTGCCTCCAGTTGAGAGGGGAGAAGGAGGAGTAAAGACCCACCTCTACCTTGGGCTCTAATTGCAGATTGTCCCCAAATCATCCTTCACCCACTGGAAAATTCCCGAAATAAGATCTTGAAAATTTAATCCTCTCCATTTAAATCACTGATCTCTGTTAATCCACCAAATGTACATCTTAAACTGTGTGCTTGAAAGTGCAGGTTTGGCCCAGTGAAGAGGGTGGAGAGAGAAAGGGTGACTGGGGCGATGGCTGAGAGAGGAGAAATGGTCTGGAAGCTGGGGGCTGGGACAAGTTGGCTTTGGGGGGACAAGGCTGGGTCCTTGGCTCTCAGCCTTAATGGCCATGGGCAGAGGTCACTCTACCCTTCCCCCACCAGGGGACCTGACCACAGGCTGCCTAAATACCCCCCGAACCAAAGAAAGGCTCCACAGCCTCATGTTAGCTGGAAAGGCTGGGATGCAAGTTCAGAGGCCTGAGCCCCCCTGGACACTGCCTTGCCCGCACCCCCAGGGAGCTCATCCTGCCACTCCAGGTCTCAGAGTCCACATCTGTAAAATGACATTCCACTCTGCTGCTCCAAATCCTCTCAGGCCTTTTCCTTCCACTTGGGATAGAATCCCAACCCTCCCCCCGGCAGGCTGGGCTCCGCTTGGCCTGGCCCCCCACTCACACCCCTGCAGCTGCCCCTTGCTCACTCTGCTCCAGACACACTGGGCTTTGCTCTGTGCTTGGGGTGAGTTCCTTCCCCCTCAGGACCTGTGCACAGCTGTCTGGCTCCCAGCCCACCTTCTCCCCCACTCTACCTCAATGTACTTCTCAGCCTTCGGGGCCTAAGCGTGCTTCCTCCTATTCTCTCTCGCCAGAATCTACTCTTGCCCTTCGGAGTACTTGTCACAAGTTGTCACTGTATATGTTTAATTGGTTGTTACTTCATTCATCCTTCAGCCAAAAAACGTGTTGAGCATCTGCTGTGTGCCAGGCAGGCACGGTGCTGAGCTCTGGGGAATTTATTGGTGACAACAGACAAGGACCCTGTTCTCAGGGAGCTTACTGTCCTGAGGGAGAGGTAGGCCAGTGAGCATTCAGTCCAAGTGCCCTCAGGGGAAACATCAGATTGTGATGAGCCCTGGGCAGAGCAGCACCCTTAACAGAGCGCTATCATACAAAGCCCTCCCTTAGGTGAGCAGTCAGGGAGGGCTGCCCTGAGGAGGTAACAGTTATGCTGAAAGCCTTAGCAAGACTTGTTTAATGTTTAGACACCAGCTTAGGAGTTGCTCGTGCTTTGCTCATCCCTGTGTCCCCAGGGCCTAGCTCGGTGCCTGGCACATCGTTGGTGCTCTATAAATATGTGTTGAATGAATGAATGGGGTCTCAGGGTTGTGATGAGACTCTCTTAGCTATTAGGGTGAGCTGCTGGTTGGACGTGGGGTTCTAAGTGACGATGCCCTGGAGAGGGGCTCTGTCTTTGGTAGTGAGTCATCTCAGAGTCCCTAAGGTTCATCTGACTTCGAAGTGCTCCACCATCGCCCACCCCACCCCACCCCCGCTGCTTGCCCAGACTTTATCAGTTCTCTCTCATTTCCAGCCACTGTGAACAGATCACCAAGACTGTGAACACCCTGAACAGCTTCCTGAGCAAGACCAAGTCCTTCCTGGTGCAGAAGGAGGTGAGTCCTCCACTCCCGGGGTCCCAGAGCCCTGGGGTGGCAGGTGTAGCGTTCGCACACAGGCCTGGCTATATTCTCCGGGCACCTTTCCTTCTGCAGTGCAAACTTCTGGCTGTCAGCTGGAACTTGCCCCCCTTTACTCAGAGTAGGGAGTGTTGAGCGGAGGCCTGACATCAGCAGAAAACACTGGGTTCCAGACTTGAACCATTTGCCATATCCATGTACCACTGATATGCCTTTTTAGCTAGCATTTTTCTTTAATTAACACAATTTTACTTAATTAAATTTATTTAAATACATTTATTTTTAAAAAGGAAATTTTATATCCCCACCATAAATAGGAAACTAATATCACTTATCATATAATTAATTTAAAAATACACACTGTCCTATAAAGTAGTTTTTTTTATCTGGGCATAGTACAAAACCGTATATACCAGGTGCCCAAAGTTCCAGAGATTCTAAATTAATCATTCTGGAAGGTGGCTGGGGACCTGGGTTTATAAAAGAAAAATCATCCCGGTGGCTCTGTGATTCACTGAACTGTAGGCTTGCTACTCACAGTGTGGTCCTCCGACCAGCAGCACGGGCCTCAGCTGGGTGCTTGCTAGAGATGCAGAATCTCTGCCGCCGGCCTCCACCCACCACCCCTCAGACCTGCTGAGACCCCCGCCAGGGAATTGTATGCACCTCAAATTGTGAGAAACATTGCTCTACATTTCCCAGAGCCCCATTTGACTCTAAAATTCCAGGGTTCCAAAGTTCAAGGTTTCTAAGAGTGTAGGGTTCTGGGCTGTTAACACTCTAGATTCTTCAATTTCTGGGATTCTAATGTTCCAAGGCTTTAGGATTCTAGCATCCTATGGTTCTCCGATTTTGGGGCTCTAGGTTTCCAGTGTTTTAGAATCCTAAGGGCCAAAGGATCTAAGGTCCCAAGGTCCCAAGTAACCAGCATCTGTGGGGGCAGGCAGTTTGTTCCCAGCTGATAATGATCTGTCTTTCTTCCTTCTTCCTGCCCTCCCTCCCTCTCCTCCCTCCCACCCTCTCTCTCTTCCCCCTTCAGGTGTGCCCATTGATCCACATCTTCCTCCACAACCTGGATGTAAATTCCTTCCAGAACCTCGGCAGTAAGTCGCGGCCTGGGGAAGGGGGGCCGTTCCCTCTGCCGCCTTCCGAGGGCAGGCTGGCAGCTCTGCTCCTGCCCCACACCTCCTGGTCAGGGACCCTGGGGACACAGAAGGACCCGTGGGTCGTCCTGAGCAAGTTGGGAGAGTGTGGTGGGAGGGGTCCCTGCGGAATTGAGAGGGCTCTGTGGGCCTCTGGAGCTCCCCACTGTCAGCCCTCGTTCAACCCCAACCCGCAGAACCTGCCGGGCAGAAGGATGTGAGAAGGGAGATGGGCCAGATCTGGGTTCACAGCCTGGCTCTGCTCCTTAGCAACTGTGGGGCCTTGGTCAGGTAGCTCGGCCTCGCCAAGCCTCCCAGGTGAAACGAGGTTGTAGACATTGTGGGCTTAATGAGCGGATTAAAAAAAAGCACAAAGAACCTAATACCCAGTGGGCACTGCTAATCAAGGCCATCCCTTCTCTTTTCCCTGTTGCGAAGAGCTGTGCCTTCTCCTCCAGCCCCTGGGGGCTTTCTTTGGCCTTTGGGTCTCAGGCATGGCTGGGGTTTCTGGGGCTGCTGGGGCACTAGAAACAGGGTGAGTGAAGGTGTCAGGGTCCAGGAGGTGGCCCTTCTCTGAAACAGCCACAGCCCCCATTCCTTGGGCAATCACTCTGTGCTCCACATTCACTGTCTCACTGGGTTCTTGCAACAACCCTGTGGGGCAGGTACTGTCATACCCATTTTACAGATGAACAAACTGAGGCTCAGATAGGTAGAGTGACATGCCTGAGGTCCTGTGGCCGTCAGACTGACCTGCTGGGGAGTGACAGGCATTGGAGTCTGGTTTCTATTCAACTTTCCAGCCGTGGAGCCTGAGGCCTGCTGCTGATTTTGTTCCTTCAGATAAACTTCAGCAGGCAGTCCAGCTGCCGACCCACATCTGAAGAGGGCGGATGAGGAGCACCGCTGTGCTGTCCACCTGCTGGTGAGGGGCCAGGCTCTGCACCCCACGCTGAGGAGGGATGGGGCTCCTCCACAGGGGCCTGTGGTGAAGCCAGGGCAAAGCTTGGCTCCTCTTGTTTTTCTAGCAGCAGACTGAGCCCTGATCTTGGTCACAGCCTGACACTGGCCCTGGCCCCAGGCTGAGCCCTGACCCTGGTCACGCTCTGAACCCTAAGCCTTAATTACACACCCAGACTGAGCTCTGATTTTGGCCCCAGACTGAGCCGAGATCCTAGTCACAGACTGAACTTTGACCCCAGTTATTGTCTGAGCCCTGACCCTAATCTAAGACTGATCTGTGGTCCTGATGATAGACTGCGTCCTGGCTCTACTCTAGGCCTCCGATCAGCCTTTTCACATCTGCCGTTGTTCCTTAGGGGAGGGAGGGTGAGGATGGGTCAGTGCCAGGTGCCAGAGAAAGACTCCAATCCACAGGTGCCAGTCTCCTCTCCAAGGCCTTAGACCTGCAGGGTATTGTGGGAAAGAGCTCGGGGAGTGGAGCGACTGGGGAACGGCAGGTGCTGTGAGGGCAGCTGTTACTGTCCTGCCCTACTCCCTGTGGTCTGTTCCAGATTGGTTCCCAGTGGCTTGACCACACTCTCTTGTAGCATCTCCCTCTGGGAAGATGACACCACCCAACCGGAGTGGAAGTCTGAGCCCAGCCAGAAGGACATGTCTCGGATGCTCCTTCTCCTCACAGTCGGACCGTGGCCGCTCTGCTGGATACGCTCCACCCCAGCAATAAAAGGCCACGTCTGCACCCTCCTGAGGGGCCCATTTGCATTCCTTCCGTTGGCATTTGGGGGAGGGGCATAAACTAGAGGGGCAGAGACCCGATCCAGAGCTGGAAGGGACATTTGGGACTATCCAGCCCCACCTTCTTGTTTTACAAATGGGGACACTGAGGCACAGAGAAGGCAAGAAACTGACCTGGGGTCACATAGCCAGGCTGTGGGAGTGACAGGACCCTTGATTCGTCCATTCGCACATTCAGCGGGTGTCTAGTGAGCACCTGCTCTGGGTCAGGCGGGCAGGGGAAATAGGACAGTCACCTCTGGGGACGACCCCACCTGATGCTTTCCTCCACCCCGCTCCAGGGGCTCTGAGAGGCCTTGTGGAGGATCAGGGGACACCTGGTCTGACTGGACTAGGAGTATGGGGCAGAGTGACACAGGGTCGGAGGCCTGTGGCCATATCCCAGCCTGTCTCTCCACGCCCTCCGGAGGGTCAGGGCTCCACTGGAGCTGAGATCTCTCCCAGCAGCGTCTGAGAGCACCGTGGTCTCCAGTGCCCAAGGCTCACCCGTCCCTCCCCTCACCAGCCCTGAGAGTCTGTATGGCCACCTGCCAGGCTGCATGAAGGCGTGGTCCTGCCCGGTAAATGTCAGCTCCTCCCTCTGTCCGAGGCCCCGCCATCCATGCCCCAGAGCTCAGCTCGCCCCCGGCTGTGCCAGGCTGTGGCCGGGACCGCATCCCGCTGCTTATGCTGACACCACCATCAGGCAGGGCTGCCTTGCCGGCACACGTGACCTCATTAATTCCTCCCAGCACCCCTACACCAGGAGACACCGTTGTTGTCCCCATTTGACAGATGAGGAAACTGAGGCTTATAGAGGCACAGTGACTCATCAAGGTCACACAGTGCGAAAGTGGCAGGGCCAGGAGTTGAACCGTCAGCTATGGGACCCCTTGCTCAGAGAGGTGACATTCCAGCTCCCAGGCGCTGTGGCCCCCTCTCCCAGGCCCCCAGCAGGCCCCGCTTTCTTCCGCCCGGGACAAATGAGGTCCTCTCGAGGCTCTTCTTCTTCCCCCACGTGCCAGCCCTCAGTTTCCCCTTTGTCCCCACCCCTTCACCACAGTTGTGTTCTCCTCTGCAGAGGTGCAACATGGGCCAAACGCTAATGCACGCTATCGCCTCAGGTCCCAGCAGCCTCTCCTTTCCCAGAGGAAATCGGACTTTCCCACCAAAAGGCCCAAGGAAGCTGTGCCCGTTTTGCCAAGCGGCCGTCTTGCTGGTCTGCACGACTCTTTGAGGGAGGGACTGCTCTCGTCCCCACAAGAGGCTCAGGCACAGAGAGGCCAAGGCCACACAGAGGCCTGCACCCAGCTGCTAACTCACCCAAGGCCTCCCCTCTGCAGAAGGCTGCCCCACAGAGTCAAGGTACCTTGGGGGTCCTGAGCCCTTGGAGTGGCCTGCAGGGGTCTTGCCCCAGCCCTCCTATGAGGACCTCAGTTCAGGTTATAGTAGGCAGATGCTTGGCATAGGAAGAGGCTGAAGAGCTGGGCAGATCTGAGCTCAGATCAGCCTCCATCACTTGCTAGCCCTGAAATCTTGGGCAAGTGACTTAAACTCTCAGAACCTCAGTCTTCTCACCTGTCAAATGGATTAACAATAAAGCCTCCCTCGTCGGGCTGGTGTGAGGATTAAAGGAGACAATGAGTGGAAGGTGTTTAACCAGAGCTGACGCCTAGTGAGCACAAGATGAATGTCAGCCTCTACACGCTGAAATTACTGTTATGACCACCACCCTTGTGTTTGTTGATCGACTGATGAAAGCATCGATGTGGTAGAGAGAGCCGTGGCCCTGGGATACCTTGTATTTTCACTTTTTCTCTGTGGTAAGACTGCTAACTGTCCCCCAGGGATCATTCTTCTCTGCCCTCCCCAGGTGTTAGTGGGGTGCCTGGCCTCCAGCCAGAGACTACATTTCCCAGCCTCCCTTGCAGTAACTGTGGCCATGTGACGAAGGTCTGGCCAATGGCATACAAACCGAAATGATGCTGCAAATTCCACTTTTTGCTTTAAAGAAAGGGGGTTCCCTCCGCTTCCTCCTGACCTTGCCCCTTCTCTCCAGTTAGAAACGGGAACAACTGGAGCAAATACCAGGACTCAGAGGTGAAGCCATGTGTTGAGACGGCAGAGCTGCTCCGGCAGCCCCCGACCTCTCACCTCTGGGCTCTGTGGCAGAGAGGAATGAACTCACTTATTTAAACCAGTGTGTTTTGGGGTCTCCTTGTTATGGCTGCTTTGTCTCTATTCTACCTAACGCATTCTGCCAATGACATGCTGTGTGATGTTAGTCTGCTAACTTTGCCTCTCTGAGCCCCATTTCCCTATTTTCACACTGTTCACTGAAGGCTCTTCCTGCTCCAACAGGACAGGAATTAATGCTCCCTCCAGACTTGAAGGGAAAGAAGAGAATAAACATTTATTGAGCTCCTACTGCATGCCAGGCACTGTATTAGACTGGTGGTTCTCAACCTAAGGTGACTTTGCCCACCAGGGGACATTCGGCAATGTCTGGAGACATTTTAGTTGTCACTAACTGGGCGAAGGGTGATACTGGCATCTCGTGGGTAGAGGCCATGGCTGCTGCTGACCATCCTACAATAGGCAAGACAGCCCCTTCCAACAAAGAATCATCTGGGCCAAATTGTCATTAGTGTTGAGAAGCCCTGTGTTAAACCTTTAGACGCATTATCTCATTGACTTCTGATTTTTACTGAGTGATGCAGTGAACGGCTCTTGGGGGAAGGTGTGGCAAGTGAGGCTCAGAGAGGTGAAGTGACGTGCCCAAGGCCACATGGCTGGTCAGAGGGAAAGCTGGATTTTATCCGAGGTCAGCTCGTCCAGAGCTGGTGCTTGCCCTGCTACTCAAGGAAGAGTGGTGGGAGTTTTCCTTTCTGACTATATATTGTGACAATCCCACCTCCCACAAAAAATACACAAGGAGGTCTCAAGATTCAGTGATCCTTCTAGGCAGTAACCCACCTGAGTCAGTGCCAAGCCTTTGTCCATGCTTTTCCATCCACCTTGGACACTGTTCCTTCTGCCTCTCCAGCTGGCTACATCCTCCTCAGCCTCAGGACTGCTCAGGAGTCACCTCCCGGCTAAGCTGGGGCCACTCCTCAATGTTTCCCGAAAAACGATGCTGTACTTCCCGACTTGTAGGTCTAACTGAGCAACCTTGTCATACTGTGCAGTACAGAGAGAGTGCTCAGAAAGAGTCAGCTCTCGTT